TTGTGGGGCTGGGGCAGGTTGGTGGTGGGTCCGATGCAGGCGCCTCCTCCTCCTTATAGGAAAGGGGAAAAAAAAAAGTATTATATTCTGAGTACGTTTCTCATCAATCGCAGATTAATTACTCGGAAACGCATCCTGAGCAGAAGAAAATGGGGGGGGGAGCGAGTGCGAGCACCTCCTCGCGATGACAAAATCAGTTTTAAACTGAGGTAGCGGCTGGTATTAACGCAACGCTTGCAAAAATTAAGATTTTTAATTCGGGTTGGAAGCCCGGGCAGTGACGGGCATCGAGGTCAGTAAAAGAAACGTTGAGAGGGGGCCGAGTTTGGGAGGAAAACCCAAGTTTTCAGCTCAAAACCAGCTCCGTGAAGCCCAGCTCCCGTTAACGAGCTTTGAAAGCAGCTGTCGTTAAATTCATCCAGCCGAGCCGAGCCGCACTGAGCTCGGACCCGAAACCCGCTGGATGTAACCCAAAATGGAGACGTCTAAGATGGAGGTAGGACCATGAGCTGAGGTGGAAATGGCTCCGAGACCTGGTAAATAAGAGTTGAGGAACATCAAGGAGCATTGCCAACCGCCGTGGAGCAACCAGCTTCGGGGGGACCCTGCCGGCGCATCAACCCTTGGGGGACACTTTGATGGTGGAGAGGAGCACGCAGAAGTAGGGGAAGACCCTCTCTCCGCTGAAGGAGGCCACGGGGAAGGTGAAGATGAGTTGGCGGCTGCCGACTGCGTAGAAGGAGACCTGGCCCACCTCGTAGTCCAGGTAGACCCCGATCTCCCCGTTGAGGAGCGGGACGGAGGTGTTGGAAGGAGCCGTGAGGGCCACGCAGAGCTCATCATACTTCTGCAAGCCCCAAATCTTGGCGTTGGGCTTGAAGAGGACCCGGCCTTTCCTCTGAACCGACTCGCGGGCCACCCCAACGGCCCAGAAGCGCCCGTTCACCTCCACCTCCCAGTAGTGACGGCCCGAGATAAAGCCCTCGCTGCCCAACATGCACGGATCCGTGTCGAACCGGCCCGGACCCTCAGGCCACCGGCGTCCAGGTCTACCCCAGGTGGCCTCTTTGAGGTCCTCGGAGAGGATCACCTCGGGACCCACCGTGGCTGGATCCAGGGTCACGTCCACTGGCGAGCAAAACAGAGAAGGAATCAGAAGCCAAACTTAAGCGTAGAGGCCGCACACCCCAAAAATCCCCTCCACTGGTTACTTTTCAAGGAGAAAGGGAGAGGAGCGGTGAGGTGGGAGACCGAAGAGCAAAGAGAGAGAGGTTGCAGCTGAAGGAGCTCTGGGCCAGGTTGGAGATGGAGGAGCCAAGAGATGGAGGAGCCAAGAGATGGAGGAGCCAAGAGATGGAGGATCTCCAGGCAAGGTTGGAGATGGAGGTTGGAGGTGGAGGAGCCAAGAGATGGGGGTTGGAGATGGAGGAGGTTGGAGATGGAGGAGCCAAGAGATGGGGGTTGGAGATGGAGGAGCCAAGAGATGGAGGAGCCAAGAGATGGAGGATCTCCAGGCAAGGTTGGAGATGGAGGTTGGAGGTGGAGGAGCCAAGAGATGGGGGTTGGAGATGGAGGAGCCAAGAGATGGAGGAGCCAAGAGATGGGGGTTGGAGATGGAGGAGCCAGGGAGATAGAAGGTGGAGCTGGAGGATCTCCAGCTCCAATGGACATCTCACTTGATGCAGCCCAGAAAACATCAGGAATCGGTGCTTTGCTCCTCTCCGGCTGCCTTTGGTTACCTTCAAACTGTTTTACCGTGTGGTAGTCCAGAGCAAGATCCCACGTGCGTGGCCGTGGTTTGAGGAAGAAAGCCATCGCGCCCGCGACGTCCTCCCCTCCCGGCTAGAGGCGCAGAAAGGGGAAAGAAAGAATAAAATAAAGTTCTTCTCCTACCAATGGGCACATCTCGGCTTCGCACCCCTTTTTACGTCAGAAAACGGGTTCAATCACTGCATTTAATCAAAATACTTGAAAGAGGACGCTGGTTTTTTTCTCCAGCAGTTGCGAAGGAGCTTGGTTCATTTATGGGAAGACGATAAATGAAGATGGATTCTCCGAAAATTCCATCTCCATAAATGAAATGGATTAAAGCTATTAGTTCCCCGACGGCTACGAAGGGAACATGAGGAGCACGTTGGGATGGACCCACCTACCTTGTAGATACGATTATCCCCCAAAATCCCCACTCCTTGTGCTGGCTCAGGGATGAATCCACCTTAAATCCACCTCTGCCTCCACCATTCATTTTCTCGGGCAATCAAATCCGACAAGGTTTATTTGAGTGAGAAAAATCCTTAAAATTGAGATAAGCCGAGTCCAACTCTCTCGCGTCCAGAGAAATCCTGCGAGAGGTGGGAGAAATTTGCCGCTGGCCCCGGGGGAAAATGTGCACTGGGGAGATAAGGGCTGGCGTCGAGGGGCCTCGAGTCCGTCCTCCGAGACCCGGCGTGGGGCTCTGAGTGCAAACAAGCGGCCGCCCCCCGGTAAAAGGGCATTGGAAATGAATAACGGAGCCCCAAAATGGTTGAATAAACCACGCTGCCGTGCTCAAAAATAAACGGGTTGCTTCTTTTCCCCGTGCTTTCCCCAGCAGAACTGCGGAGAGGGGAATTAAAGCGGCAGGCGGAGGAGTAGAAGGGGGGAAAAGGTGGGAAAATCACCCTTAAATTGCGATTAAAGCAGGAGCCGTGCTGTTTCTCACCCAAATTTCCCCAGCCGGATCGTTACGGGTAGACGAGAAGCAAATAACCACCGCGACCAACCACCGCAAAACACCTTTAAATCCGAAACAAAGATCCTGAGGGCAAAGCGAGGAGCGATCCGCTTTCCCTCTCCTGTTGATGGGATGGGGAGAGTGCTCAAAATCCCCTTCCCCCC